GTTTTGGTCGACTATTCCCTAAGTTTTGGTGAGTCTTCCAGTTCGAGACCAGATGTTCTATTTCAGTCTTAATTTTTTTAGTACTTTCTTATGTTAAGATTTTCATTGATGTAAAGGGTTAAGTCCCTAATTTCGTACTCTTATGTTAAATGGTTTTGAATGAGACAAGTGTAGTATTTCCACAACTCTTTATTTATGAAATTTGAAGTTTGACTTCTGTTTAGAAAAGTTTTATCTTTCAACATTATTCTTATGAAATTATGTGTATGATTATGCTAAGGGCTTGTATGCGGCCCCTTCGGGGTCAACTACGCCATGTTACGTCTGGGGGTGACCCCGGGTCGTGACATTAAATGACACAATTGACTTTAATCTAGTAAGAGGAGAATTCACCAAGATTGCTTTTGCAAATACTATATTTGTACTAGCACATAGGAGGAGGATAATCACACAAATATAGAGAAATGTGCATATAATGAAGTAATTTGACACGCTAAGGAGAGGGGAAAATATTGTTATCCACATTGCAGATCAAGCTGCCACTAAGTTTCCTTTAATAGGAATACAACTTAGGAAATTCACTTCATTGATATTAATCGCAAGTATCTGATTTTATGCCAAAGTATATGGAATCGAATAGCCTTACATTCCTTATTCTCTGACCAATAAAACTATAACGATTCACCCTCTCCTTTTAGGTGTTAATCTACAATATAAGTCATGATAAACTAAAATTAGCAGCTATCACACTATGATCCTCGTAATACAATAGTTAACTTTGACGGATAATGCGTCGATACAACATTTAAGACTTTAGTTAATACACATAGATAAGGAACATTCACAATTAATAAGTCATGACAAGGAAAGAAACTCATAACAACAATCCAAGTTAAGCATTTCATCTTTATATTAAGCCTTTAAGTCAATATTCTTATTAGCATCATTATGAGGACATTCATTTCATTAGACATTATAACATTAAAGAACACACCATGACTACTCTCAAAGCCTACTTCTGCAATGCATGGATGAAGTCCCATACCCCAAACCACACAAAGTAGTGCATTCTTGAGAAGCCATTGTTCATTTACATTCATTGTGGGGGTAAGCCTTAACCGACATAGACCATGTGAGCAATTGATGGAATCCCGGTGTTGCCCACACCGACTAAGGGATTCCTACTTGCCTAAGGTAGGATCGTTAACATTTCTCTTAAGTGGATCTACTAGCTAATAACCTATGTGGGCACATAGTTGTGGGATAGGGAGATTGCTACTAGATGCCCCACCTTAACTCACGGATGATCATCCATCTCAAGAGATTGCTACTAGATACCCCGCCTAAACTCATGGATGTGAATCCATCTCAATCCATATCTACTGGTGCTTAGAATTATTCCCCATGGACTACTTAACATTCATTACTTTAGTTAATTATTATGGGATAAGAGATTGTTACTAGATACCCCTCCTCAACTCATGGATAAGCATCCATCTCAATCTCGACATTCATTCTTTAAGATAGCTCATAGATTCAAAGATGTGAATAGCCTTTCAACTAAGAATCACCATATTGTGAGAAATACCTTTCACAACATGTCATTATCATTCATTAGTGTACAATTGAGAATAGCCTTTCAATCAACACATCATCATAATCTAATCATAGAAACTTCATTCATTCTTTATTCATGAGTGTGTGTGAGTATAGCCTTTCAACAACCACAACTTTACAATTGCATTATATTCATAATCACATTAATTTCATTGGAAATCACAAGGCATGTACCCAAGAGTCATGATTATACAACAATCTTCATAATTTGCCCTTCAAGGCCATGAATCATAATTCAACAACACACCTAGAATTACTACAATTTAGGCATGAATAATAACATAATTCAATTAATTAAACTATTACAAGATCAATTGCATAGTATTCATCTTACTAAAATTCACCCACATCACATAGTCATAAATTACGGTTATGGGGAAATCATGGATTCATGGGGGATTTTATCTTAACACCACCATAAAAAATCAATAAATCTTAATATATGATAATTAAACCATTGAAAACGTTTTGAGAAAGAATCCATGACTTAGAATGAAAACCCTAGGTTTTGGAGAATTTACTTCTTCGGAATTGAAAGGTTGAGGGCTTCATGGATGAAAACCTAACCATGAATCAAAACTACCATACCTTAGATGAAGAAATCCTAGAAAAATAGTGAGAGAAATCTCCCTTATTCCAACTCTAACATGACATTCTTCAATGGGGTTTTTGGGAAAAAACATTGGGGGTAAATGTGGTTATGATTTGGGTAGTTTTGATTTATGAAATGTAAGGGTAAATTAATAGTGTAAAAACCCTTATATAAGTCTAAATATTCTATATAAAATGACTTAACTTCAAACTAAACTCAAAAGTAATTTACCAAATTACCCTCCTCTTGGCCGAGATTGGACAGAAAGTGCAGGAGTGTGCGACTCCGTATGAGGACCTCCTTCTCTTCTGCCCACTCTCCGTTCACACGGTTCTCAAAGCAGAGGAGGACGGGTGGGCAGCAGGTACCACGAGCCCTCTGTCCCACACATCTATCCAGAAGCAAGTGTAGTTCACCGGTTCCACCGAATGCTCCTATATTACTCATGCCCCATGAACCACGAACCGTTGGTGCATCTACGCCCTGTCCTTCAGGTCGTGAGTCGGTGATGTGCAGGCTAACATTGAGTTCTTGACCTACGAGGCGTGGATGAACCTACGCCCCGTAGTTCCCATTTGTATGTCTCAATCTTTTTGGCAACTTTTTCTAGATTTTGGGTTCTTGGTGGTTAGGCTTTAGGGTCCCCCTCAAGGACCCTTGGTTGGTCCTTGGGGGGTTGTACCTTGATGTTTAACCCCTAAACCCCTCAACCCCTCAACCTACATTCGGGAAGGCATTTTACAACACCAAACCCCACATCAAACTCAAAAACTCACAGGTAAGGCTCTAGTTTTCCCTATTAGTTTTCCGGGTGTTACAGTACCCTACCTTACACCTACTTTGTAAAGGTAGAAAGTCATTTTCCAATATATCCTGAGCTCACAACGTAACAATCAATTATATAAAAATCAACGACTTACCTAGTGTAATCACAAAAGTGGGATCTAGATAGTGTAGTGCATACACAACCTTATACCAACCTTATTAACATTGGAGAGATTGAGTATTATATACCCTCAACTAACAACACAACACTCACTTACAATAACAATGGCAATAACTTACGAAGTTTAATTCCAGAAGAGGGTTCTGAAGAGGATGGTGTATACGCAACCTTACCCCTACCTTAGAGAGTATGTTTCCAATAAATGCTTAGCTCACAACACAACGCTCAATTCCTACCACATAATCAAAATTCACCCATTACTCAAAGTTTAAAAAATTATTCTTCCTCTCTTCACCTAATGATATGTAGACAATTAATGAAAGGGGGCATGCTAATTGGTGAAGAAATCAATTCGGGCAGAAAACTTGACATCTTACCCCCTAATAGGCACAGTTTTATATTTTGTTTTAGTTAGCCAATAAGCATAAAATTCTCTCACTAATGTCAAATTGCAATCCCCGGGATTTTCAAACATAAACCTCAAACCTAACTCATTAACAGTCTGATATATATCAGGAAATTGTGACGGTAACCGTACCTCATTCACAAATTCGTCGTGCATATACTTTGCCTCTCTTTGGCATTCGAACCATTCCCACCAATACCTTTCCACAACTAATTTACCAAATTTTTGCACCGGTTCCCGGCCAATAGAGGAACCGGAAGCTTCTCATTTTCTACTCTGCTTGGAACCCTCCACGTTCTTTGCTTTAGGAGCCATCACCACCTATTAAGAGAAGAAAACTAGAGAAAAGGAAGAAAGAAAGAAAAAACATTAGAAAATTTAGGGGGAGGGGTCGGGTTTGGGCAGTTAGAGGTGAGGGAAGAAGAGTTGAAAATTTAGTTTGAGAAAGACGGGGAGGAAATTTGGAAAAGTGGAAGTACTTATAATGGAGTTGTGCGGGAAAGAAAAGTTGAAGAAAAGAGGGAGGTGTGTGGGAAAAGAGGAGTTTGATGTGGGTTAATAGAGGAATTTGGAGAGGGACGAAGAAGAAGAAGAAAGAGTTTGGAGGATTTGAGGGGTTAGGGTCGGATGGGAGAAACAGAGAATAGGTGATGAATTTGGGATTTGGGGGTTTTAAGGGGTGGGTTAGGTGAAATCCGGAAAACAGTTTCTGGGCATTGGGGCGATGGGAGGGGCGACGCGCCTCTCAGCACGCCTGAGAGGGCGCTCTAACGTGCGACACCTGGCGTGGCGCGCCTCTCAGCGAGCCTGAGATGGCGCTCTGACGTTCGAAGCTAGGCGCGGCGTGTCAACCAGTGCGCCTGGATCCAAATTTTTTTTAACTATTACAAACTAAGTTACAAACAATGAAAAATCCTATTTAGCTAAACTAAGAACTAGAGGAACTTCCTAGATTCTACAAATTTAAACTATGCTAAAATAATACAAATAAAAATTTCAAACATGAACTAGCTATCAATTACATATTGTCCATGGGTTGCCTCCCATGTAGCGCTTGATTTAACGTCGCGGCATGACGCATCTTTGATCATTTATCATTTAGCTCAAGAGCTTCCCGATCACTATCCAAATCCTCACCAAAATAATGTTTCACCCTTTGCCCATTGACCAAGAACGTAAGGGCAGTCTTATCTTTAAGTTCAACAGCCCCATGTTGTGTCATTCTGACCACTTCGAAAGGACCACTCCACTTCGACCTTAATTTTTTGGGGAATAACCTTAGTGTAGAGTTAAAGAGTAGTACCTTATCTCCCGGATTGAAGGTACGCGCTACTATGTTCTTGTCATGCTACCTCTTAATCTTTTCTTTGTAAAGCTTGGCATTCTCATATGCGTGGAGCCTAAACTCCTCAAGTTCAAGCAACTGATTCACTCTCTTTTTATCCGGCTAGCTCGAGGTTTAAGTTCAGCTTCTTGATTGCCCAATATACTTGATGTTCTAATTCCGCAGGAAGGTAACATGCTTTCCCAAATACTATGTGATAGGGAGAAGTCCCTATTGGTATTTTATATGTAGTCCTATATGCCCACAACGCATCATCTAATTTATCAGACCAATCTTTCCTTTGCGCATTCACCTTTTTCTGAAAAATTTGTTGCACCTCTCTATTTGAAACCTCCACTTGTCCACTCATTTGAGGATGGTAAGTTGTAGCAACCTGATGACGAATACCATACTTTGCAAGAAGATTCTTAACAAGATGGTTAATGAAATGCTTACCTCCATCAGTTATAATTGCCCTTGGAGTGCTAAAGCAAGTGAAGATGTGCTTCTTTATGAACTTTATCACCACCCTTGAATCATTGGAAGGAAGTGTGACTACCTCAACCCATTTACTAACATAATCCACAGCCACAAGAATGTATTGATTTCCACTAGATGGAAGGAATGGACCCATGAAGTCAATACCCCACACATCAAAGATTTCCACCTCCAAAATGGTACTTAGCGGCATCTCATGTCTTCTTGAAATAGTACCCAACATTTGGCATTTATCATAACCCTTCACAAAAGCAATAGTATCTTTAAATAACGAGGGCCAAAAGAAACTAGATTGTAGTACCTTATTAGCAGTGCGCTCTCCTCCGTGGTGACCTCCATATGGGCTAGCATGACCACTTTCGAGCACTTTGTGAACCTCACACTCCGGAATGCACCTTCTCACTACCCGGTCTACACCTTGCTTGATAAAGAATGCTTCATCCCAGATACAGAACTTGGCATTATGATTGAGCTCTTTCTTTTGTTGGGAGGTTGCACCCGGAGGATAATCGCCACTTACTATCAAATTCACAATGTCTGCATACCATGGAACTTGAGAGATATCTAATGCCATCAATTGTTCATTCGGAAACTCTTCCCGAATTTTCTCACCTTCATTTACATTGTAAAAATCCTTCAACCTAGATAAGTGATCAGCTATTTGATTCTCAGTACCTTTCCTATCTTTGATCTCAAGTTCAAATTCTTGGAGAAGCAATATCCATCAAATTTTGCCTTGGTTTAGCATCCTTCTTGTTGAATAAGTACCTAATAGTTGCATGGTAAGTAAAAACAATCACTTTAGTAGCTACCAAATATGATCTGAACTTGTCGAAGGCGAACACTAGAGCCAGCATCTCTTTCTCAGTCACTGTGTAATTAGCTTGTGTATAGTTAAGGGTCTTTCTTGCATAATAGATCGAGTGGAACACTTTATTCTTTCTCTGTCCTAACACTGCACCCACTGCTACGTCGCTTGCATCACACATGAGTTCAAATGGTAATCCCCAATCGCGAGCAATTAAGATGGGAGCCGCAATTAAGTTCCTCTTCAACATCTCAAATGCTTTCAAACACATCTCATCAAAGTCAAACTTCACCTCCATCTCCAAAAGACTGCACATAGGTCTGGCAATCTTGGAAAAATGCTTGATGAATCGCCTGTAAAAACATGCATGACCAAGAAAACTACGCACACCTTTTACAGAAATGAGAGGGGATAATTTCTCAATAACTTCTACCTTAGCCTTATCAAACTCCAAACCAGATTTAGACACCTTGTATCCCAACACTATCCCCTCCCTTACAAAAAAATGACATTTTTCCCAGTTTAGAACTAAGCTAGTGTCTTCACATCTAGCAAGTAATTTATCAAGATTTTAGAGACATACCTCCAAAGACTTCCCAAAGACGGAAAAATCATCCATGAACACCTCAACAAAGTATTCCACCATATCATGCAAAATGGCCATCATACACCTTTGAAAAGTCGCCGGTGCATTGCAAAGTCAGAATGACATGCGCTTGAAAGCATATGTGCCATAAGGACAAGTGAACGTGGTCTTTTCCTGATCCTCGTGTGCAATTAAGATTTGGTTGTAACCTGAATATCCATTTAAGAAACAATAATACTTCTGCCCTGCTAGTCGGTCAAGCATTTGATCAATGAAGGGAACGGTGTAGTGATCTTTCCTGGTAGCATCATTTAGTTTTCGGTAAACCATGCAAACTGTCTACCCGGTCACTGTTCTAGTAGGAATCAACTCATTATTTTTGTTCCTTACCACTGTCATACCTCCCTTCTTGGGAACACATTGTACCAGACTTACCCACTTACTATCAGAGATTGGGTACACAATTCCAGCATTTAGCCACTTTATGACTTCATTTCTTACCACTTCTTTCATCATAGGATTCAGTCGACGTTGATGTTGTGCTTTGGGTTTGTGATCCTCTTCCATGTAAATTTTGTGCATGCATAACGCCGGACTAATCCCATGAATATCAGCCATCGGCCATCCAATTTCTTTCCACCTCCGCTTTAAGATCCTTAATACCGCATCAACCTGTATGTCAGACAATTTTGCAGAAAGTATAACAAGCAAAGTTTCATTAGTACCCAAATAATCATAACTTAGGTGAGCCGGCAAAGTTTTTAGTTCCAACGTAGGAGCTTCTTTTATTGATGGCTTTGGTGGGGGCCCCAACTCGCGGTCTAGTGACTCCACTTGATTCCTACGAGGGTTTACTAGTGCTAGATTTAATCATGATTCAATCTCTTGAACTTTAGTGTCTCCCTCTATGTCATGACCGACTAACACTCTCTCTAAAGGATTTGCGGGCACCACAACTTGTCATTCTACTATGCGATCAACCACAGTAATAGCAGACAATCTTAATAAATAGAAGGTAATTTTAAAGCACGGTAAAGATCAAATACCTCAACCTTATGTAACACTCCGGAAATGTAACGACCTAAGCTAGAGCCTAAATGATGACTAATAACTTAATGAGAGTAGAAATGATGTTTCAAGACCAAATTTAATGTAACTAAAATGGTAAGGAAATGTTAGTGCATAAACGTCAAGGAACGACCATGACGTCCGGAAACTAGTGCATTGAACTAGTGAGGTGCAAGGTCTTGTGAATTGACTTTAGAGTGTCGTAGGTGGACTAAAGTTTGAATAAAAGTGTTTAAAATGTAAGATTTCATGTTTAGGGTCCAAACGTCCGGGTACGACTTCACAAGGATCACCAAAGGGGCCCTTGAGGAGGACCCAAACTTGAAACCAAAAAGAAAGTAAAAGCTATCCAAAATAGGTTGGAATCACGAGGGGTAAATCACGAGGCGTAGGTTGACTCACGCACCATAGAAGGGAGTCGTGACTCCACACTTAGAATCCTCCAAGTGGCCTCCAAATCAACCCCCTCAGTCCCAAACCACGAGCATGCAGTACGGTTCGTAGACCGACTCACGCTCCGTGGAAGGGTCTCGTGAGTTGAGACTTAGTCTTCTCACCAAGACCCTTGTCTACACTCTCTCAGTACCAAACCATGAGTAGCCAGAACGACCCGTGGTTCAAACCACGCCCCATGGACAGGAACTCATGGATGGCACTCGAGCTCACTGCCTCCACACGGTTTAAGTTGGGGTAGTTTAGTAATTTACTAATTAATTGCTTAAGGGATAAAAACAGTTATAAATAGTTATATTAGGTACTTTAGGGTATTATTAAGTAATAACCAAGTCTTCCACCTTATAACTCCAAATCATAAAATCAAAACCCACTTCTCTCTAAACTCTCTCTCTCTAAAGACTCTAGAAGAAGAAGATTATATTGGAGCTAGGGTTTCAAGGTTTCTTCCCAAATTTCTTGGAGTTTCTCGATTTATTCTCAAGGAATCAACTAAGGTATGGTTTCTTTTCACTCTTGGGATCTTTGCCCCTAAAGGCCCTCTCAAAAATATGATTTTAAGGTTCCCCAAAATTCTTGGTTTCTCTCAATTTCCTGGGTCACTTTCCAAATGTAATTTCTTTGGTTTACAATGATTAATTATGGTTGTATATTAGAGTTTGTGGATGAATAAATGTAGTGTTGTTGGTTTTTGAAAAAATCCCCATAAGACCCATGAATTTCCCTTTTTTCTAACTTTAAACCATAGTATGACTTTAATAGTGTATGAAGGATGTGAATCTAATATGTAAATTGTGGAATTCATTATTGTATTACGATGTTGCTCTATATGGTGAATTATTACCAATGAATTAAAGTTGAATCTTGATGTCATCCTTGAAGGTTATGAATGAAGATTTTCAAATTGATGAATGTTTATTTATTGAATTGTTGATCCACTTATGGTGGAGATGCTACTTGATTATGAATTGTAGTGAGTGAGTTATGGTTCCTCTTCCCTACAACCCTAAGTGTTGACAAGTATGCTATGATACAAACATGAATGTTAAGTGATGATGATGGTAGTGTTGGTATGATGAATAGAAGGTAAATCTCATGAACACTATATGACTATCTGAATGAACATTATTGTACGTTGATGGTTCTACGATGAAAGGTTATTCTCATCTTAGAAGTTATGAGTTATATGATTAATGATGGGTTAAATCCCTAATGTACTCCTTATTGAATTAATGTGTAAGTAAAGGCCTAATACTACTTTAAAAGGGGAATTGTGCTTAGTACCGAGTGAACATGAATATGAGATGGAAATTTTTACATTAAGCAAGTCCAGCTTCCCATATAGGTTCCTTATACATTTAGCAAGACCGGGTTCCCAATATATATATGTTGTTTCATGAGATGCTAACCTTTTACGTTTAGCAAGTCCGGGTTTCTAGTAGCAATCTCCTTGTTCCATAACTATGTTTGCCCACATAGCTATTAGCTAGTGGATCCACCTGGATGCCATTATGTTAGTTCTACCTTGGCAAGTGGAACACTCTCTTTCTCTTTTCGGTGTGGATGTAGAACACCGGATTCCATGAAGCTCACATGGTCTATTTCGGTTATTGCTAATATCCCTATGTTTTGTAAAGATGATCTAATGTATGAATAGGACTTATGAACTCTAACTAGGACTACTTCAGGGATACTAGTTAGTGTAGGTGAAGGTGTGAGACTTTACCTATGCATTGTACAAGTGGTTTCTTTGAGGAGTTCTTTTGTGAGTCCTTTATTTATGGTAAGGTATGAATTATGTTAAGGTTGGTGTCACCTATTATGATATTGATTATGTATGTGACTACACGTGTGTCTTCTTGATGGCTTTACTTAGTATATATGGGGGTATGGGACTTCATATGTACATTGCACAAGCGAACTTGAAAGGGGGGGGGAGGGGAATGGGTGTTGTTTTATGATGGTATATTGTAAAAGGAACTCAAATATGTAAGGTGTAGGTTATGGCCTATTGTTATGATCATGAATATCTCTTTACCTTGTAATGTGGATTTGCCAAATGTTCCTTGAATATGCATTATGGCTTCTAACTTGAAATAGCATGTTTTCAACTAATGGTCCCTTTGTGCATGATTTAAATGATTTTAATTGCATGGCTTCCATACTTAGTACAATTGATTGTGCTAACCCATATTTCTTTCTTTTTCTACTAAGTGTAGGTTCCGGGAAGTGATTGTGCTACTAAGAGATTAAAGCTTGGATTTAGACTTTTCGAAAACTTTTTGGTATGTCCTCAAGTTTCGAGGACACACATTATGACACTTATATTCTTTATATTGTAATAGACTATTAAACTACTTATGTACTTGTCATTTTGAGACGATTCTATTGTAAAGGGCTATGGACCCTATTTGAGATTCTTATGTGTACTTAGATGGTTTCATGGAAATGATGATGTCTAGACATTCTACTTTCTATTTTCTATTATGAGACACTTTTACATTGATTTTGAAAAGTTTTAAATTTCAGCATTATTCAATGTCTATATGCAATAAAGAATATGCTAAGGGCTTGTATAAGACCCCTTCGAGTTAAAGTACGCCGTGTTACGCCTAGAGGGTGCTTTCGGGGCGTTACAAACTTGGTATCAGAACATAAGGTTAATTGGATGATATTAGGGCTGATGTCTCTTGAAACCACGTCGAGTAGAGTCTTGTTCATATGTGTGAAGTGCGCCACACTAATGAATGAGAGGCCATAAGATTCTTAGGAATTTTCACTTCTTGATTCCGCATTGGTTGTGCCTCCAGAATCTTAGTTCTATTTAAGTCTTTTCTCCTAATTCTTTTCTTGTGCTTTTAGGCTATGAATACAAGAAGGACTAATTCTAGGAGGGCGGGAGAGGAAAATTTGATTGAGGAGGTTCCCCTCATGTTCTTCAAAACCCTCAAGCTCCTATTGATGAAGGGGCTATGTCTAATGTGGAGATAAGGGCGACTCTTCATACCTTAACTCAACTCATGACGGCACATGCTAATCGGGAAGCTAGACCTCGGGTGGAGACCAATGTGAGTACCATGGCCTCACGATTGAGAGACTTTACTAGGATGAACCCTCATAGCTTCTTGGGTTCCAAGGTGAATGAAGACCCACAAGAGTTCTTGGAGGAGGTTTATAGGATTGTGGAGCCTATGGGGGTTTCTTCTAATGAGAAAGCCGAGTTGGCCGAGTATCAATTGAAAGACGTGGCCCAAGTATGGTACACTCAATGGAAATACAATAGGCCTTTAAGGGTAGGTCCCATAACTTGGGAGATATTCAAGAACGCTTTCCTTGATCGATTTTTCCCCGATGAAAAAAGAGAAGCCAAAGTTGAGGAATTCATCAATCTTCGCTAAGGAGGTATGAGTGTCCAAGAATACTCCTTGAAATTCACGAAGTTGTCCAATTATGCTCCCTCTTTGGTTTCTATTCCAAGAGATGAAATAGGTCATTTTTGTCACCGGTGTGTCCGATGCTATTGAAGAAGAGTGTCGAGCAGCAATGCTCCATCACAA